ATGCATAAAAATCCAAGTATGCAAATGAATTCAGTGTTCATTTACGTATTGAATGAGGGCGGTCGTTCTCTGCAAGACGCACTCGCTTCTGATTTTTCGGTAAAGTTGAGTATTTTTCATGCTCACCTGCAGGGAATTTCACGTCCAAGCAGAATTAAGACCACAGTTGAAAATAGAATATCCCAGTGAAGTTTTAGTCTCGCATCTTGTCCGGTAAGCGAAATATCCATTTCGTTACAAATATCTTTGAAGTGCCCTAATTTGTGGCTCAAATGCAAATCGGTACTCATTTTGGGTATACTATTTGCCTTATGGCCGACAAAGATGTTGACAAGATTTCAGCCACTCTTTCCGGCAAGTTTTCGAGTTGGCACAATACCAACTTGCAAACTCTGCGTAATAGTACGCGCTGCACAAGTGTGCAAGACAGCTGAATTTGAAATCTTTGCTCGCATGTACACATAAAATGCCCCTGCAAAGTCCTGGTCCGCGAAATCGTTCCCCGCTAAAAAAATATGCATAATTTTTCGGGGGTCCGCATGCGGGGTCTAGGCGCGTGTGGGGGAAGATCTTAAAACGGGACGATGACACACGGAGTAAGAACATATACACAAAATTTCAGCCTTCCAGCTTTCCTGGTTGTCGAGATGAATGGCAAAGTTCACTCGCTTTTGAACACATACGCATAGACGACCTCTCGACACTGTGCGTTTTTGCTGGCTGCAGCAGTGCTATAAAAAACTGTGGGTATGTGAACGTTCATTTTATACTTGGCAAGGATTCTTCAGTGGAAGATTTGGTTATCATAATTCAAGCTTCATAAATTTTGTAGATCTGGAGATCGAACCATGCGGACAGACAAGCACATACATTATATTCCCCTGCAATATGAGTTTTCGTATAGCGTAGATGCACAGAGCGCATAATAAATATTCATATTTTGCTCGCATTGCTGATGATTTCGGTTACTATTAGCGTGTGCTAACGGATCAGTTTTGCGTCCCTCCGCTTTCCGTTGAAGGCAAAAGATGCAAGCTGTTTTAGCCTTGGTGTTTTATGCTGCACAAGGTCCAAAAATATTTCAGCTTCTTGAATTTCCCAGTTCCGGAACTGTGCTATTGAGGCCGACATGTATTATCTAGACATCACATTTCGCCGATTGATATCTTCTGAAAAGGACTTGAGCGTACCTTTCATGGTAATGGCGGCTAATAACGAGTCGTGATGATGGTTCGGGACCGGATCAATAATATCAAAAGATTCACACCAGAAAAACGGACAAGTTTAGTATTAAAAGAAACTATAACCCTTACTGCCAGGAAAATTTCACAGTGCCCTGCTAATAAGCTATAGTTTGAGTGTAATAAATCATGCATAACTTGTGAACTTACGCTTCCTTTTTCGGCTTCTTTTTTACACTCGACGTTAGTGGAAATGCCTGAAATAAATTATGTGTAAGATAGATAGACAATTTCGAATGTCCGGTCTAAATAAAGGTTCAGAAAACGAAACACAATTTTTTTGCATTCGCATGTGTCTAAAATTTTTGACCTTCCTGCATTTTTGTGTGTTTTTCCACCATGGATTACATACAGAAAGACATCTGTCACAAAGAAATTGCTGTATGTTTATGTCCAAAAAATAAAATTAAGGTTTTGACACCCACTACTCAGCAATCATAAAAGCTAGTGAACTGCAAATTTCAAAGGCATGTCCTTGTGTCCCTCCTCCCTAAACTTAAATCAACTCGCAAGTACCAAAGCTTGAAAGAAAAATGAAAATAGATTAGGCGACAAAACAACGTCGGCAATTAAACAACAAACTAAAATTTCATAAGGACAGTATTTGCGGTGTAAAGATTTTAAATTCATTTTTAACGTACGTTTCTGTTATGTGTATGAATAGTTCAAAAACGCCTTCGGCAAGAAACGATTGCAGGGATTAGATAAGAGTATGAGAAGTAAAATGCAGCTTCGAGTTACTCCTACATCTCGCAAACGCGCAGATGAAATTTCAGGTACAGCCAGCCTCCGCATTTTTCCAGTTGGTTAACCAGAATGAGTAGCAAAATGCAGTTTTTGTTGTCATTGTGCGCACTGTCTTTCGCTCGCACTTGCATATCGATCTCCGACACATCGAATGTTCAATTTGCAAAACTGTTCGTCAACTTCTTTCTCGAAATGAGGTAGGCAGGAAACTATAATTTTGTAAGAATATAGTCTGCCCCTATGCAACACTAAAAACACAAGTTCGGTTTTCACGCGCAGTTACAGCTTTCCTACAGACATAGCATACTCCTGGTTATAAAATTCTACCATTCTAATGTAAGGACCAAGCTGTATGGGAAGCTGGTATTATTACAAGATGTTTGCTGTTCAGGCACTAACTCGCAAATGCAAAATCAGCTGTCACGAATTGTTTCCTTGTGCTGATAAGTCCAAATTCCATTTGCAAAACTTATCCTCCTACCACAGTAATCAGATATGTTAGAAAGCTGAAGTTCTTGACATTTCATAGTGTAGCACTACCCGTCTGAGCCCATATAGTACCTTTCTTCCCAGCCCCTTCCGAACGAGCAAGGACCAATGTGAACATTTTCAGCGTGTGTACATATCAAACTGCAAAGCAGCGACAGTCTACAGTTTAACGACCTTACTAATGTACTAAATCACGCAAAAACGTGTGAACCCAGCGGCAAAGCTCGTGCGCATCGCAAATTATTCAGCACTGTTGTCAACCCCCCAGCCGCACGCCCTTAATTTTCAATTCCGACCGACTAATAGGTGGGAGCAAACGAATGAAGATATTCAGACCCTATCCACAAAGTATAACCTAGATGGCTGTGTAAGGGACTTATCGATGCGAAAATGTTTTTACGCGAGCATTCTGTCGAGGGGTGTGCTTTGTGTACATGTTTTGCGTGTGTCTATTTGTGAGTTTGTGTATGTATGTACACAAGTATGTGTGTAATGTATATATCTGGCCTTGTATTTCGATCTTAAGAATTAAGAAAGCAATAAAGCAGTGAAAGCAATAAAATCTGCGGTGGAATATCGTGGATCAGATTGCCATTCGGATATGATACCTAGATATTCTAAAATTGATTTCCAACAGTTTTTCTTTCTTTGTTTCGCGACAGATGACACAGCTCATAAATAAAATCTGGTCAGTTTAAGACTAAACTCACTTCCAACGACATGTTGTGGCATTTGAAATTAGATGAGTAATAGAAGGACGTGTTGATGGCAGCTACTCGCTGGCAAAATTGTCTTAGTCCTCCTTTCTGAGTGCTGCTAAGTTGACAGCAGTTCTTGATACACATAGAAATTCACTCTCAGACACAATTCAGGTGGAAAAACAAATTGGGACAAGATCAATTTGAGTTAATGAACAAAATGAAAATACCTTGCTCTGTGGTGGCGCACTTGAATCGCTTCTTTTCTGAGCCATGCTGTCGTTAGCTTTCTCTTTTTTCAGGTCCACACTTCTCGAGATCCGTAATTGCGTCTTTACCCGCTGAAACATTTACATTTCCTTTTCTCCTTTCTTAATCGCCAACCAATTCAGCCTATATCAAGGATGCAAAAGAGCATTCTATCGCTCGCGATGTCGCTCATCTCATCATCTGGCATCAAATTCATGCAGAACACCCTGCAGGATATCAGTCCCTAGACGCTTGCAACAAATAACACTTGATACGTTTTGTGTTGAAACAGCTGCACAAAACGCATATTATCAAGACCCTGTCACGTATGTATTTTTCGAGTGGTTCTATCCGGAAATTTAAACTCCGGAATCAGAGAATGTAAGAAGTGAAAACTTTAGGGGTGACCCGTTACCCAATTTTGCAAACTCAAATTCAGCGTCCCCGTGCGCCTAGGTTTTATGTATGTAACCGAGAAAGTTTTGAGTTAACAACTCGGGAAGCACAAAAGTCAGGAAGAAATTTTATGGCAAAGTTCATTGCCATGTTTGACTCCATAAAGCTATATCTAGTCTTCACGAGCACCTAGGTTAGATCTCGCGTATGGACACATGAAAGTTTTGGCGCAAAAATCATCAGCTCGGGAACCAGAAAAGCTAGCAATCCGAAATTTTAGGAGAACCTCCATTGCCTGCGAACGTATCGAAGACTTAAGCGTGCGCATTCAGTCCATGCGCACGCCTAATTTTTAGATATGAACATGCCAAAGTTTTGGAGCCAAAATTTGTAATTCAGGAATCATAAAAGCCACAAGCCTGAAACTCCACTATGTATAAGTTCATTCCTTACGCACCCTAGGTTTTATATACGGGCAAGTCAAATTTTTGGCGCCAAAATTAATAAATGGGAATCAAAAAAGCTAGGAGGCTGGAATTTTAGGAAAATTAGAAGAGCGCTCCTATTCTCGTACAAATTCAGTATCTGTACGCGTAGGTCTTAGGTATGAATGCGCAAAACCTTTGGCGCGAAAACTGTTAACTTGTAAACTAGAAACGCTAGGAAGTCGAAACTTTAGATAATGCTCAATGCCCACCATAAATTCATTCACCGCGCACGCCTAGCTCTTATGTACGGACAAGTGAAAGTTTTGACGGCAAAATTAATAATTCAGGAACCACAAAAGCCAGGAGACTGAAATTTTAACAGAATATTCCCTGTCCACACACGACTTTGCAAATAAAATCAGTTTCCACGCTCGCCTTAGCCTCACGTGAGGCGCGTGGAAATTCTGGCGCGAAAATTATTAACCCGAAAATCAGAAAAGCTAGGAAGTTGAAATTTTCAGAGTAGTGCTCCTTGCCCGCTCACAAATTAGTGCCCGCGCGTCTAATTCTCATGTAGGGAATAAAATTCCATTCGCTACTTATTCCATTCGCAACATGGCCAAAACAATGCAGGGTGCCACATAATACGGCAGTACAATAACCGTCGCAGTGCCGCATCAGGTTCTGTTTCGCTTTCCACTAAACCCAGTTCTTGGACTTTATTCGTTTACCACATATTTAATAAAATGGATTCACCACCAGGCTATCAAGTAGCAACATAGTGTACTTTTGTTTCTGATTAGCCCAGAAGCTCTTTTTGATTGTCCTCTGTCAAAAAAAGAGAATTTACAGAAACTGAAAAAAGAAACTTTTGATGTAGAGCTGCTTTCAGAATCAGTTTTCAGCGATCCGTTTGCAGTCGCTGCCAGCTTGGTTTGTCCATAAGGAAGTGGTGTAAAAACATTTGCTGACGCTACATATTCCTTAAAATGTTTATTTTACAGCCGTGTAGCAAGAATTTTTGGAAGTGCAGGGGACGATGAATTCGTTAAGGCAGATTCAATATTTTGATTTTTCTTGAATACTTTGGCAAGACTCTTCATTATTTAGTATCAATAACTGCAGTGGCACTGCTATGTCTGTTGATAGTAATTTATAAAAGCGCAAGTAGCACTGCTGCCATGTACAGCGTTGAGGGCTCGACACTACCATCCGGACACTTAGTCTCTCCACGACTCGTTCATTCGTTTCAGTGGCAAATTAGTGCTAGTACAAGCTAAACCTCGCCATAAATTTGCTGCTATTAAGCAACCTTCGAAAGAGGGGGCCATCGGCATTCCGGCTAGCTGATGTTTGTTGTTAACACATACTAATACTCAAGTCACTTTCGAACAGTTTCAATTCTAATGTAGAGTAAATGCAGAATGGATCTGACTATTTCAACAAAACAATATTAGAAGATAAAGCTACTTGAATAATTAGTTGATGTCGATGCCCCCCCCCCCTCTTTCGAAGGTTGTTTAATAGCAACAAGCTTATGGCAAAGTCGTGGCTTGTACTAGCACTACTTGAATACTTGAAACTGTTGCTAGTTTATCACACGCTCACATGCATATATATACGTATAGAACACACACACACATTGAAGCACGTACATACATGAACACATCCAGAGGTAGTACATACAAACAAACACACTTACGTAGGGTCTCGATAGTATGAATTTTTGCACCAATACTGCAGCGAAAAAGGCACAAAACAACAAACGTTATCATGCCGAATTTGTTCCATCGACTTGATTAATTCGCCATTTAAAGTGTATAACTTCTTGGCGCCATGCGTTAAACCAATTTTCTCATTGATAACATCAAGAAATGCTTGTACGCTGCTTATCTGTTTCGTATTAACTACAACCTAAAAAAGTAAAAAATCTGGGATCTTCCTTAATGTCTCTGGTGAAGATTTTCCTCGGTGGCGGAAAATTTTTCTGGAATAAATCCTACAAGTTAATAAACACTGTTTAAAAATCATAGAAAGTAGGAAGAGTTTTAAGAGAATCGTAGCAAGAGTACTAACGCCTAAAAGGATATACAAAACAATCGAAAACTTCACAAAAATTCGGGACAGGTCAGATACAACAGCCAAAAATGAACACTAACACTATGTCACTTAATTTCTATCGATACAATGACTTGATGCCAATCCCTTTAGCCCGTAGCAGTTAGAATGCTTTTTTTTTAAATCGTACCTCAAAGGTCTGCGAACTTTTTTGGTAAGATGAATAAAAGCTAGTTTATTTGTTGATACCTCATTTCTTCTATGTTAGGTTAAAATATGTAAAGAAAACCCTTCACAGAGTCCCATTACCAGTATTTACCACATTACCGTACTAATCAGCACCGAAGCATGTAGAGCTCAGGCAGTGATAGAAACCCAGACTGTCTTCTCGATATATTAGGAGTTATTATCAAGAAATGCTTGCACACTGCTTATCTATTTCGTAACCTGTGGTCATCCTGAATCTCAATCTGTTAGGTATTTGGTAACGCAATAAAGTCAAACAGTTACGCGCACAAAAAGGCAAACGTGCGCGTTGCAACGCAAATAAGGAGTAAATGGGCCCAGTAACTTATGCGCCCTACTACTTGCTTTGTGGTAGCGGACTGGCAAACGGAAAGTGATGGACTAAGAGACTGCTAAGAATCTGGTTTTGAAAGATGCCGCAACGGAACGGCTTGAACCTTTTATTGTAGGCGCTTGTCGACAAATGAATTCACGAACCATATGTTCCAGAAAATAGATAAAAAACGTCATGCGAAGTTCTCAGCATATATATATATATATATATATAT